GCCCATAATTTTAGCGGGTAAGGGTTGAATTTTTTACCCATATAAATAAATGAGTTTTGGTGGGTTACCCTATTAGGGTTATGGGTTTAATGGCTAAACCCACTAGGATTGTGGGTAACCCACGAGTTTATCATAAAAATTAAAAAAACTAATATATATATATATATTAGAGTACTTTAAAATATTAGAGTTTCCTAAACATGTTCTAAGTTTTACTTTTTACAAATAGCGGAGTTGGCTACATGTCTAAGCTTTTTTTGTACAAGATCTTGGTTATTTAGTTTTAAAACAGATGAAAAATGTACATTTATCATTTATATTTATTGATTTGAATACTAGCTATTAAATTATCCCAATTGATGATATACTTTTTTTTTTATTTGTAGACAATAAAACTGATGATGATGGCAAGGAAGCAGATGCATCCAATGAAGCATATGAACCCAATGGAGATTAATTCAAGTGTTTTTTAAAATTAATTTTGGTTTTATGGTTCTATTGATCTTATTGGTTTTACGGCTTTATGGTCTTTATTTATCTTAACATACGAAGATATTTTAATTTAGTATGAGACGTGCAAGTTGAAAACTTTATTTTGTTACTTGCAAGTTATAAAATTTTGTTTATTTATAAGAATATGAAATGGTGTTGTTTTTTTAATTAGTTATTATGATATTTAATTTATATGTGGGTATCCATATAATCCATTTAGCTAACGGGTTTCATGTTATTGGGTTTGGGTATATAAATTCAACCCATATAATAAATGGGGGGGGGGAAACGGTCTTTTTGGACCAGAACTATTGCCGTCGGGCCTTTTTGGACCTGATCTTTTAGCATTGGCCAATTTAAACCCGAACCTCAAATTAATTCAAATTCGATACCCAAACATACGATTTTGTTGTTGATTTAGACCTTGACCAAATCAGCGTTGATCAACGTTAACGGAACAGTGACATGGACGATACGTAGACAAAGGAAAACGATATTTTTGGACCAGAACTATTGTCCTCGGGCCTTTTTGGACATAATCTTTAAACATTGGTCAATTTAAACCCGAACCTCAAATTAATTCAAATTTTTGTCTTCATTTCCAGAGTTTCGATCTCCAATGTATAGTGGCATGGATGACACGCAGACAAACGGCTCGGTTTCGTTTGAACAACAGCCTCACAAGTTCTTATCTCCATTTCCAGAGTTTCGATCTTTGATTCACAAGCTCYTSATGTCTTTTGTAGCTTAGCCGAAGTTCYTTCGATGTCATCTACTTTTTCTACCAAATCCTCAAGCTTTTCAACCATACACTCATCAGTCCACTTAAACACATGAAACCATTTATTCTGCAGAAACATGAAACCGCTTAAACACATGAAACCAAACCAATGCACAATTTAAACACAGTTACTCTTCTTTCTCTTCTCTAGTCTTAATTCATCAATTCCCCTCTCTAGTCACAATTTAAACTCCATTTTCCACAATACAAATCTACTTTACATAATAAAATACGTGGACAGACCTCTTCTGATCCATTTGGACAAGCATGAAACAGTCTTCCAGGATTTCTAGCGGTCCTAGACGTTTTCATCACTACGGCTTCTCCACATCTACATGTCTTAGAGAAGCCTCTTCGCAATTCAGACATTGTAGCAGACCAGATACTCCTCTTTCTCCTCTCTAACCCTAATTCATCGATTCCTCTCTCTCTTTTCCAGAATTTGACTTTGAAAGAGAGAATGAAGACTGTTGTCGTGAATCAGATATCAAAACTCTGGCTAAGCTAAAAAATACATTAGGAGCTTGTGAATCAAAGATCGAAACTCTGGAAATAGAGACAAGAACTTGTGAGGCTGTTGTTCAAACGAAACCGAGCTGTTTGTCTGCGTATCGTCCATGTCACTGTCCATTGGAGATGGAAACTATGGAAATAATTTGAGGTTCAGGTTTAAATTGGCCAATGTTAAAAGATCAGGTCCAAAAAGGTCCGATGGTAATAGTTCTAGTCCAAAAATGTCGTTTCCCTTCGTCTACGTGTCGTCCATATCACTGTTCCGTTAACGTTGACTAACGGCGACTTGGTCAAGGTCTAAATCACCAATAAAATCGTATGTTTGGATATTGAATTTGAATTAATTTGAGGTTCGAATTTAAATTGGCCATTGTTAAAATATCAGATCCAAAAAGGTCCGATGGCAATAGTTCTGGTCCAAAAAACCGTTTTCCAATAAATAGGTCGGGTCAAACCCGCCCATTAAAATCTCGACACATGTGAGTTTGGGTCGGATTACCTATTTTGACATCCCTCAATATCTCACATATAATTTTTGCTGAGCCGATGACAAAAAAACAAAAACAAAAATTGATGCGCCAAATCATATTTAAGAAGTCTATCTATATAAGCCCATCTCTTAAATTATCGGTCTTATCAATTGCTATTAAAACCCTAATTTTTCATTTCAAATCTAACAACCTCCTCCAAAATCTAACAACCCTTTCTTTATCAAAATCCACAATTTTCTCATCTTTACCCTTTCTTATTATTATTTATTTTTTTAAAACAAACTCAATTAAATATAACAATTAATTTTGTCAACAACCAAATTAAACCACTAACCTATCTCCTCTCTCCACGTCA